CGTGAGTGAGACAATCAGAGACAGCACGTGTGCATTGATACACAATAAGGAGCGCCATATGGCTCGTTGGGCGGAACGCTCTCAAGATCAGTTCAGCTGACTCCCTGCTCCCGAACCTCTTCCTACTCAGGTGATGCAGGACAAGCCATAGACGGTTAGTTTAGAGCCTCTGTCGGATGGCCGAGGTCCGAAATGCGATCACAACCTTCAATCATTTTCGTGCCGCTGGCCCGAATTTCCTCCCACCTGCACTAAGTAAGGATGGAGGTGAGGTCCTCTGAAAAGCACTGACCTCCCTAATCGAACGTATCTGGAAGGAAAAGAGTATCCCGGATAGCTGGAGTGAATCGATTGTAGTGGCAATATACCAGAAGGGCAGTCGAGTAGACTGTTCTAACTACATAGGTATTAGCCTAACGCCTGTTGTGCTAAAACTACTGGCCACGATTCTCATTCGTCATTTCACTGTGGAATGGGAATTGCGGGTTAGGGAAGAGCAGGCAGGTTGCCGCCCAGGACGTGGCTGTATAGACCATATATTCACTCTGCGACAGCTGTTAGAGCAGCGCCACGCATACCGCAGATCGATAATAGCTGTGTTCCTCGAGTTCAAGAATGGGTTCGATTCAGTCGATCGATCGATTCTGTTCGAAATACTTGCATGGAATGGTGTTAACACGAAATGTGTGAACATCCTACGTGATCCATACTCGAACACTAAAGGCCGTGTCAGGGTCTACGGTGATCTGTCGGCTAGCTTCCCGACAACAAGTGGCATTCGTCAGGGTTATCCGATTTCCCCGTTTTTATTCAATTTCGTCGTGGACTCTATCATGGAGTGTTCCCTTACGGAATCTCACGATGTAGACGTTGAGGTCTTGCCTGGTGAAATGTTAGTTGATCTTGATTATTCGGACGATATCGTCTTGCTCTGTAACGATGTTACGGCGACCTAGTCAACCCTGAATAGCCTGTCTAAATTGGTCCCATTATTTGGTATGCGCTTCGCACTTTCAAAGTGCAAAGTGTTGCTGCACGACCACTAGGCAGTTGATGATCCCTTAACCCTTGATAACGACGAACTCGAGCTGATTGATCGATTCACTTACCTTGGCTGCTGCGCCAGCAATGATGGCCACATAGAAAGTGAAGTTAGTTTATGCATTGCAAAAGCCAGAACTGCCTTCTTGAACCTGCGGCATCTTTGGCGACAGAAGGGAGTTTCCTCCGTCTGAAAGGCAACAGTGACGGCCGTCCTGCTCTATGCTAGTGAGACTTGACACCTTTGGCTCGAAGAGCCGAGGCACCTTCAAGTCTTTGATCATCGTTGTCTGCGAAGCAATGCTAGTGTCGGATGACATCAGCGTGTCTGCAACGATGATGCGCGTAGGCGAGTACTAGGTGGTGATAATCATGCTAGCTCCCTAGAACAACAGTTATCACGGAATAAGTTGCGTTGGCTCGGGCACGTGCTACGTATGCCTGGTCACCGCTTACCTAGGAGGGCCTTTTTCAATCTACCAGGTGTAGAGTGGCGCAAGCTTTGAGGTGGACAGAAGTTGACTTGGCAGCGGGAAATGAAGTTACTGACGACCAAACTGGGTGCCGTTAGTCCGCCTCGACTTCCGGGCTGGAGTCAATGTGACTTGCCTTGTGCTTGGCTCGAGACTTAACAGGACATGGCTCGCAGTCGACACCAGTGGCGTGTCTGCTGCTATCTGCTAATCGGACTGCCTGTTTAAAGTGTGTTTGGTGCTGAGTTATCTGCGGGGTAATGGCTGATTATGACGCTTGGCAGTGAAAGCTGCAAGAAAGCTGTCTCGCCGATGCCGCCTTATATTTGCACGATAGCCAGCTGTTTGTGACGGTATGTTGTCTACACAACGTACAGACGCCTTGGCCCTGAATGTTTGCTTAGGACATTGAGGTTTACAGGTAAGTCCTACTTCTCCCTGATTATTCTTTATTGCTTAAGTCATGATGATTGTATGACAGCGAAGCATCAGTTCAAATGACTGATGTATTAGTAGTAGTAGCAGTAGTAGTAGTTGTTGTAACTGCGTTGGATGTGAGTGCTAAGGTGTTTACCTGTCGAAAAACCTCCACCTCTATTACTGGCTTCAAGAGACTGCTAATCGTTGCAGGAGGGACGTGGTGCATCGTCTTCATGGTGGTACTAGGCTCAGAGTGGTCCCGTCAAGTGTGAAACGGGTTATGGCCCAGCCACCGCCTTGTGCACGTTTGGCATGCATGTTTCCTTCTGTTTAAATGAATGCTGTGCTTGCTAAAGGAGAGTGGACCGGCTCCGAAGCAACCGTGACTGTCATCTACATGCCTCCAAATTGTATTTCTTCGCGTTTAAACTAGATATGGAGTATGTGGCGCAGCGCAAGTCACCCATGATCTCTCATTAGCCGCATGCATCCTGTGGCTGTTCGCAGTCTCAGTGATAGGCAAATCGGGACACAGATGCAGCCAGCTATGATGGAGTGAGGCAGACAAGATGCAAGTGCTTTATCTCCGAATGCGTGCTTGGACACCTAAATCGTACACCAGGACTTTTCTTTATTACTCCGCACCAGTGTGGTCGTTGTGATTGTACGCGGCCCACGCTCGTATTCGTTCTTGTGCCGCGTGTGTAGGTGCATCGACTTCGAGTGTGATGTGTCAGCAGCACATGCGTACTCCACCCGTTAACCCGTGTTCTCGTGTCTGCGTGATCCACACTAGTTGGATCCAATGCTTGCTTACGAAGGTTGTCAACCGTTAGTGTACATCGCCCGATTCAATCGTCATAAATCATGGATAACGGAAAAGGTTCCCCGGAGTAACTGTGTTATGTTGTTGTTTGCTTCCGCTTGATATATCTCTGCTGTTAAAATTATTATCACGTTGCAATAGTGTAATGTTGTAATCATAATTGTTCATTTTCATGCCCTTAATCATTGTTAGATTTCTTTCGCTTATTGCAATGCTCCGTCTGAGTGAGGCGCGGAACACTTTCCGGCTATCAATTATTCCGAAAGTGAGTTGCGGCGAAATTTATGGTGAAAGTACCAATGGACAATGAATTACATTTGGTGCTGTACAACAGTCTTGTACTATCACTATGATTATCCATTGTGCTCTAAAATCGAGCCAGTTTTGCTGAGCTGTATCTCAGCTTGTTGTGAAGATACTTCACCTTATTTTTAGTATCGTTATATCCGACGATATGATACATTTCCATTGTTCCGTAGTTGTGATTCCGTATTCGTTTGGCGATGAGAATTAGTTGAATCACTTGTGGCTAACTCGAGCACTGCACTTCCGGCAGTAGCGAAGCAACAATAATAGTGGCCAGCTCTACACCGTAAAGGCGTTTCGCTGCTGCGCGACCACTACCAATCGCGCGCGGGCTGGGTATACCGCGAGGACGTCCACCCCTACGCAGACTCGAACCGGTGACCTTATGATTGCAAACCACAGACCACTCGGCATCAATACAAAAAATGACAGTGTACTGTGTCGTTAGTAGTGATCACGACTCAGATGGTGGTGTGAAGTGCCGGTTCGACAGGGTAGATAGTGTAGCCGAGAAAAATGTCAGTGATGGACTAGGTGCTGTTGGGGAGAGTGAAGTTTACCAGTGGCAAACGAGAACAACACGGGTCATTTGCTGTGGCATAGCGACAGAATACTGGCAAGTCATCAGACCTGGTGTCAATTCAATGATCTTCACAAAGATGATTTAAGCGGGATCGGTTACAAGGACAGCGCTTTGTAATGAATAAAACTAGGTAGGAGAAAACGTGCAACATGCCGGACATACGCAGCGATTATTGCGAGAATGATCGTAACAAACTGGGAGGTTCAAAGATGCGTCACCTTGAAAACGTTAAATCTAAACGGCTGGAGTCAGATTTGGCACATAAACACAAAACACTGAGCGGAACTCACCGGAGAGGCATCATTCGTAAGCCCTTGTCCAGACCTGGGCAATAGGACAAGAAGATGGCCAGTGATGTCTCGAAGAAGAGGCCAAAAGTGAGCTGGTGATTCCACATGCCTTGTTGAAAGATGGAGTTACGCCTGGTCTTACAAATCATCAAGTCGGTCCACTGGACAACCACAATTGAGGCAAAGAACGCGGTGTGACAAGTGTACTCCAACCGCTTCCTCTGACTGTATGTCTGTGGAAAAAAGACAAGGGCAAGGTGAGCGCCGAATTCCCGTTTGAAGGTGAAAGAGTGACAGGATCTAGCCCACGTGAAAGAGTTTCGACACACAGTATGTCGAGTGTGCGACAAATCCCCGAGTGCTGGAGCGGCATAGTTTTCGTACTGAAGCTAGTTCCGAGTGGAAGTGCACCCGTAGTTTAGTCGTTGATAGAAGGTCCGAATACGTTGCTGGAGCGTTTAACGATAAGTAAATATCGACGATCACTAGCATTCAGTGTAGTCGTGAAGAACTCCCACCAAATCAGCACATTTTGGAAGAGTTAAAACTAGTGTGATGTGGTTACTATGGATAAAGTCAGAAACAGCGTCGAATCTAAGGGTGTTATTCATTTTGGAAGCGGTCTGTAAGATGGCCGAAGCGAAGTGCAAGATAAAGTTTATCAGTCGGCAGTTTGTCAACAACACCCAGTTCATCGCAAGCGATTCCCATGGGCCTGGAGGTGAAACGGGACGGAAACCGTATGAATACCTGATATTTTATGAGATGAACAGGTACGGAAATGACAGTGCGTTGACTGTTTGGCAGATGTACTACACCTTACAGGCAGCGGTCAAAAGGGTAATGCTGAGAGATGATCGCAAACATAAAATGGTAAGGCATCACATGCACAGACAATGTTCGCACGAAGGAAAAAATTGCAAATTAGTGACAAAGTTGCGCAATTCCTAAGGGACTCATTTGCATCACGCACGCAAACACAGTGTAAGCGAGTGACTTGGCTATCGCAACACTCAGAGTGTACACAGCACAGCGCACAAGCTCTAAATGCGCTCCGATTCATAACGGATCATCTGCAAGTCGACCGAAGTTAACGAAGGAATGTCAATTAGTGTCAACATTCGCAAATCAACTGCAATGCACTGTGCCCACTCATACACTCGGAAAGCCAATGAAAGGAATACCGAAGATGTGGGGGGAAGAGAAGCACAGGTGATTAAATAGTCAGTGAGTACACCGAAGTCCGCGCCGGCAGTGTTCTCTTTCTAGTAAATAAAAGGGCAATGCTAGCAAACCAGCATGAGTTAAGTAAACGCCATAAATAAATTTTGCAACCCCTTAATTTTTTCTTTAAAACATTCCTAGAAATTGCATCGATATACTACAGGACGGTGCTTTACAAGCAGCTGTAGCGGAAAGGATCCCATGTCTGCTTTGTAATCCGCAGGTTGCGGGTTCGAGCCTACGTAGGGGGCCGGGAACCTTCGCAGTATTCGTAGCTCGGGCGAATGGTGGTGATTGCGTGACAAGGAACCGGCGGTAAAGTGTGCCAGCGTACTGCTGTTGCCCTTTTTGCCCTACATACAATATCCTTCTATACCATTTCCCGGCCAAGTTGTTCTCTTGAGCAACAGAAATAATCTGACGGGGCATTCAACATGAGTCTACTCAATTAATTTGTTCTGTGCGTACGCCAGTCACTTGTGCAGGTGTGCGTGTATAGTCCGTCGCCTTCAGCCAATTGGACCTCAGACGCACTAAGTCATAGGGGTGCAGGTGGGAGGCTGCAGCTCATACGCACGGAACAAATTAATTGAGTAGACTCGCGTTGAATGCCCCCCTCAGATTATTTCTGTTGCCCAAGAGGACAACTTGGCAGGGAAATGGTGTAGAAGGTATATGGATATGAGCCGTATTATGGACTTATGATTCGTTGTTATGTAATGGCTGGCGGTTGCATGCTGACCACGATACTATCAAGGTGCCTAAGTCAGAGTAGGATCGGAGACGGTAATCCAGGGCATAGAGAATGGTTTTGTGTCGGACGCTTTAAGCAAAAGCACCACGGATCCCAGTTTCGGAATACCGCGAGAAGATGTATCTGGCCAGATGAAGTAGTGGAGAACTTGGTAAATAAACTGGAAACATTTACAGCGGAAAGTGACTGGCCTAAAAATGTTCAGCCATTGGAAGATCAGTCAGATTTGACAGTGATGTTGCTACTTTAATTTGCGCATTGATGCGCGGCAGCAGAAAGCCGTCCACAGACCGAACATGAACTCCCACTCAAATAGTTTTCGCTATTCATTGTTTGAGTTGCACACACACTGTCGCAGCTGCCGGTAGGTGTGGACTTTGGTGTTCACACTTGGACAAATGCTGTTTTTCGAAGGAGGGATTTGAGTTAAACTCCCAAGAAGGTTCATCGCATCTACACTCAATCATTTAGTCCTTTCGGGATTCGTCAGTAGAAACCATTTCATCTGTCTGGTGGGGGATAAGAACAGGCGACCCCATTACATTTGGGTCACTGATGAAGGCAACAATGACTTAAGAGATGAGCGGCAGCCGTCGTTCGAAACACGAAGTACCTTCGTATGACTAATAGCCCATCAACTGTTGGGGAGAAACCGCAGGCAGTTGGACAGCGCAACCCCATTCGTGGTCACACTCCCAGTGACGGCTGCGTGACTAATACAGCCAGTCCACATAGTACACATGCAAAAAACTGCATTTACGAATCTAAAGCATCAGTGGTGCCGCAGGGGCAGGGGTCCAAAAGGCCAGATACCCAAGGCCACAGTGAGAGCCGTTCTATCCCAAGAAAATCAAGGCAGATCACTTCAGTATGAGGAAATGAAGCGTTCGCAACTTGTTGACCCCCTTGCGTGTGAAGAAATAACGGTATCAGCTACCAACAGCGTGTCCGCGGGGATATTCAGATTACTTCTTTAGGTACAACAAATAATGTTGGATAGGTTGCGATGGTATGAGCACGTGCAACGTTTGCCCGATCATCAATGATCGAGAAGAACCCCGCTTTCTCTATCGGATGTTGGGTGGTGCAAGGTCCGAAGAGGGTAAGAGTTAACCTAGGAGAGTAAACTGCGTGTTGCTGATGCACGCAAACCCTTCAGACTGGAGTCCATGTAGCGCACGTTATGTATGGTTAGAGACTTTACAGGACATGGCTCGCAGCCCACATCAGTGGTACGTTCTCTAAACTCACTTGGGCTGCATGTTTGAAGCGGTCCGATGTAGTTATGTGTGGGGTAAGACGGACTACGGCAGGCAGTAGTGAAATCGGCAAGAATACTGTTTCGTCGTTTTTTGTTTGCAATCGTGTGCTGTTGACTCTGAATGTTTGGTTTTAAAGTTGTAGCCCCACATTAAACAACCCAACTCCTGGTTTTATTAATTCTTCTTAACACGGCCGTTAGGGATGCACGACAGCGAAGGATCAGTTCAATTTACTGATTCACGCACACAAGAGTATATATATATATATATATATATATATATATATATATATATTCTGGAAATACATGAGCAGTTGTATGAATAAACTTACCCACTCCTGTCCGTACGAGTCGGCCAGGTCATTCACAGCCTTCGAATCCCATTCTTGTCGAATTCCAAGTAGTCGGGTGGGCCAGAAACCGTTCTCAGCCATGATGACAAGATAGACAAAGAATCCACCCAGAGCCTGAATCATACCGATTTGGCCATACGCCATGGAGATCAGCCGTTCGTTTACCAACTTATCATGCAAAGGATCCCGTGGCATTCGTTTCATGATATCAGCCTCTGCTTCTTCATAGGCCAATGAGATTGCGGGAACCTTGAAAGGAGGAAGTAACCGGATGACGGATCAATCGAAGGGGCTCTCATCATATCTCGGCCAATAAAGTGAGTAGATGTTTAAGTTGAATAATCGAATGTGAAAAATATAGGTAAACTAACTGTGCCCTCTAGTTGTAAAGCGCCGTCCGAGGATGGACCGGAGCCCGGCATCACCTACCACGAAGTACATCTTAGTAACTCGACACCACGTGAACCCAGGTGTTGCTGCGTAACAACAATCTGATAATACCAGCAATTAGTGAGACGTTGCTAATTAGGGCCGAGCAACCTGTGTTATGTGTAGAGAGAAACTCTTGAGTCAATCAGCTGGGCTGCCTTGGTCTTAAGTATAACATTCTGATTGATATTGCTAATCTGTTCATGTATATAACTGCGTATGTGCTCTGGTTGTATTGCTACTGATTGCTACTGATGAGAGCAATCGAAAGGCTGACATATCGCAGCTTATGTCTTCGCATTGCTGTGACGAAATGTTTGAAGGGGACCGGCTGTTTTACATCGCAAGTAACTCGAGATGGCTGTTCAATCGACGTGCTATTGGAGCTGTACAGTGTGAGGTTGAACTTAGTGAAACGGAAATTCAGGTTGAGAAAACTCCTCGACAGAAGGGTAGAATACCTCACCCTTGCTATCCATATAACAGTTCAGTTAAGATAAACAACTATGATCTGGGCACCGAAGTACGGCGGATCCAGTTGGCAGGACTCACATCGCAAGAGTAACAGCAAATAACAACGGTAGGACAGTGGGTTTAGGTGTGAATAGAATGCAAAAAAAGAGAAGCAAGTAGGAAATTCGTCAGACTAATTAGAGTGGAACGAAAATGAACAACCGTATGACAGAAACCGAATGCAGGAACACCACTGAATTCGTGACTGCGCCATGTTTGACGCGGTCTCCAACCATTGATGCAGACCGTCCCGAGGTCCCCATCCAGGAAGACAGCATGTACCAGCCTGAGCGTCTGGCAGTCAATTTCTTAAAGCTTCTATGCCATCTCATGGACTGGCCAGCTCGCGGTTTCACCAAACTTGGTGCAGCCACGGCGTATAATACACGCCGAGGAAGCCGAGCAACGGGCATACGGTGGACATGGCAAGCGACTAAGAGTTATCAAACACTCAAGAGAGGAAACAGAAGGTTTCTTGCCAAAAACCAACTGGCGGACCTCAGCATTGCTCACGCGGTGTTCCCACCAAACTTGAACGATACTTTGTAAGCACCGGTGGTCAGACACGGCCACGGACTGGCTAGGTCTCTGATGCTTACAGTAACAACGGCCTTACTGCAGCGTTATATACTCTACTTTTCACTGACAAGCTGATATCCAGCCGTCTCCATAGATAGTTAAGTGTCTGGAAACCCCACGGGCCTTGCTGAGACGCGCGGTAACCTCTTCAGTGATGTGACCACCAGAGGCGACATAGCTACCAAGATAGGTGAACCGATCCATCGATTCCAGTAGCTGTTCGGAAATACCTAAATCCAGGGGTATGTCGGCCTAGTCCTGCAGTAGCACTGTTCACTTTGAATGTGCAAAGTACATGCCGAAGCGTGCAACGCTAGGCACACATCTGTGCGGTAGTGTTTTCATAGCCAAAATATCAGACGCAATGAGAACTGTGTCGTCCGCATACACCATATGACGAGTACAAATAACGAAGGTTGCAAAGAGATCTCTTTTCGATAATTGACATCCGGCAAATACAGGTACAGGACACAGAATTGCAACAGTAAACTGGTGAGGGCAAAAATGAGCACGGATGGGACGGTTTGAACAAATTTAGCATGTTCGTTCGATGCTCAAATCGATGTAATCAGGTGACATCGCGATAGGGCTAATAGACATGCGCAACGAAACAACTTGTGTAGACAGAAGAGGTAAAAATACTAACAATATAAAACCAGATAATTACGTAAATAAACAGTACCCCGCTATGCATAACACTCCGGGGGAAACGAATTCTCGTCAGGGCCATGGAAAAGTCAAGGGTTGCACAAGCATCCTATGCTTGCATAGCTCTCGTTGTGTTAGCCTGATCGCGATGGTTTCAGCCGTCTGCAAGAGCCGTTTCCTTAACCCTTTCGGGTATCGCCTTGACACGGCATAATAGATCTTTAAGGCATCTTGGGTCAAAATCTGATGTCTACTTTGAAACAAATGTTCCAAGTTCGAGTTGTTGATACTTCTGAGCGTGTTTCTCCGCAGTGATTCTTACTGGAGGTATATGGACAATGACACTTTCATCATCTGTGATTCTCGCACTGATGTCAACTGTGTGCTCGACCAGTGTAACTGTGCACATCCCTCAATGAAGTTCACTAGTGAAATGGAAAATGAAGGTAAGTTGGCTTTTCTGGATGTTTTGTTGAGGAGGCGCGAGGACGGATCACTTGAGCGTAGTCTTCCGCAAAGCTACATGGGTTGGACAGTACACACTTTTCGAGCTTCGTCCCTCTGAAGTACAAACGCAACTTAGTGCGCTGCTTGCATTACCGGGCTACCGACACGTGTAGTTCGGAAACACTCGAGAGTGAGAAGGACCGAATTAGGAAAACACTTCCTTCGAATAGTTACCCTGAACTTTTCATCAAAAAGCACACCATGACCTGTGGCACTTTAAACTCGTAACAACGGTTTCAAAAAGGGATGTGTTTCTCTCTATTCTTTTTAAGGAAGATGTCGCCTTCGAGCACATGAACAGGAGACTTTCTGATGCCGTAGCCAGGACTTACCTGGCCGCCCACCCGCATGTATTTGCGGAGTCCGCACCCTTTATAGATCAACGTCTTCAAGACAGACTGCCAGTGTTGTCCGAATCGTACATTATTTACCAGTTTACATGCACTTGTGGTGTCAAGTTCCTCAGACATATGAGCAGGCGTCTGTCGGTACGGATGGCTGAGCATTGTACAGGGTCATTGCGTAGAGGTATGCTCAAAACTATGGACAGCTCGATCTTGGAAAATTTCCCTCAAAGTGGGCATCAGATTTTTGACCAAAGATGCCTTCAAGATTTATTACGCCATGTCAAGGCGATACTTGGAAGGATTCAGGAAACGCCTTTTGCAGACGGCTGAAGCCATCGCGAACAGGCTAACACCAGTGCTTGTGCTAACACTAGCAGAAGCAATGACGGAACTTTGGTATTTATGTCAATCGTGTGAAATAGCATCGCTGTGTTTTACTTTTCCATGGGCATTATCAAGAAATAACGAAGGATTCTTCCAAATCAGTTTTGTTAAGCAGAAAGTTTATGTTCACTAAAATTGGTACACATATGGACACATGGATTGAACGGAATTCGGCGGTGCAAATGTGTTTACCCTTAAGTGAATGACATGATCCTGAGCGTACGTACAATAGGGTTGGGGAATAAGTCAAAAACCGGTTGAGGACTTTTTATGTGAACATTTGGTTCACCTAGACCAACTTCGTCAATCGCTAATCGGCATGTATCGGAATCAGTCTGTACCAAAGGAACAGTTACAGAGACAGAAAGCATTTAAAATGTGCAAATGTGCCTTGTTTCTCTGTGGACAGTAAACAGACATTTGGGTCTGAAAGTAGCTTGCTTTGAAACGGAACAGTAAGAAATTCGGAGAATCTAACAATGTGAATGTCTGCTCTTGTGTTCCCCTCAAATCACATCAATGAAGTGAGTTTGGAATTCGTATCCTCGTGGCACGTTGGTGTTTCAACTAGAAGTAATGTTTTAGACGGCAACGACAAATACAGATATCAATCAGCGGCGAATCAGAACAAACGATCCGCTTATTCGGCAGGCATTGGTGAAGTGCATGATATCCTATTCCTCGCTCCACACCATCACCTCCCGAATGACCGACAACATGCACCAGGGCAACAGAAGTGGTTTAAATGCGGAGTCAACTTTCGGCTCAAACTGGCACCGGTCAGTAGTGGGGTTGAAGATGAATGGAGGTGAACCAAGCACAAGGAGCACAATACGTTCGGACACTTGTAGGCATCTGCGATGCCGATCTAATGGAGTCTCACTGCGAATACCCACAGAGTTGGGGAATGAACCAGTCGACGACCACAGACGCTCAGGCCCAATATGATGGAGCAGATGTGGGAGAACGATTAGCACAACAGCGGCCAGAAAATGCAGTTGGGCTCGTGAAGCACCGTGATCTTGTATGGATACGCAAGAGATCACACGAAAGTGAGCAGTTGTCAGTCAGTCGGAAGAGCACAAATCGAGGGAAACGCTGAGCATGACGGACGGAGTTGAGCGCACGGTCAATTGGTCTGAGGGCTTCCTATTGTGAGTCACAGTAAACACGTAACTTAAAGGACGTGTGAGTAGACTTCCTCAAAGGAGAATAACAGAGACTTATTGGTAACGGAACGTGGGAGTTCCGATGGAAAAAGGATTACCACAATTTTGCGTTCGGATAGTAATTGAGCAAACGAGTTTACTCGATAAACCACATGCACGGGAAGCGACTGCGATAAGACGGCACGGGGAGACGAGGGAGATCAGCAAATGGCGAGCTCGTTGCGACTGGATGTGCAACTCTCACTAGTTGAGATTAAAGAAATGGCAAACGGTAATCATAGGCAGCGCATTATAAAAGCGATTGTTTGTTTATAAAATCCAGTGATCTCCAATGCGACCGTAAGTATTTAAAGAAACGGTGGTTCGAAATGCTAATGCTCTCTTCGTGAGAAATGTTGGCCGCCAAACGGCTATGAAAGACAAAAGAACGTCTCCAGACGTACAAACAATCCATCGTGATGATCCTACCTGAGTTGAAGGCTACTCTTGATTCTAACAATCACACTGCTACTTGGCGATGACTGATCCTGAAGTGCGCCCAAAAATTCCTTTTATTCTGGAGCCTCTATGCCATAACTCAGGTTACCGAGAGAAGATCTATGGATAAATTTCCTTTGAGTGCATCAGGGCCTTCCTTTCAGTTCTGATCAACTTCACGAGAGCTACCTCTCCTGTTCTGTTCAGCAATCAACTGTCAAACATAGGGTCCGCGAATCACAGCTCATGTTGGATCGAATTTGCAGACAATGCAAGCGCTACTGGATTGACAGATGCGTAACGCTGCATGTTCAGACACGCGACTTGCACCTCGAAATGCAAAGTACTTTACAGGCATCAACAGCTCCTATGATCACCGAAGAGATCTACCCTTGTAAATCCGGCTGTATCGGTTTGTTCACATACGGGACGGTGTCGATGAACTGAGGGAGATTTGCAGCCACTTGACCGATGGAGATGCATGTTTGCTCAAAATGGATTTGCAGTGTAAATCACAAAGATACACTGGAGTATGTCAGCCAGACTGAGAGATGCATCAGGTCTCAGATCTATGGCTCATACTTTTGTCAAAAGTGATCTGTCACAGAAAGATAAATCAAAACTACTTCTGCAGGCGTCCAGCATGATTGAGTAGGATAGCGATGAGACAGTTATATTACTGAACCTGCGGTATGATGCACAAATAAATCGTTCGGATGGGGGGGGGCAAGAGTAATGAGGACGAATTGAACTGCAGTGCCGGTACGCAGTGCGCTCTAGGGTTCGATACCAGTACGACAGAAGCATCGACTCAGTGTCATCCCTGGAGTTCCGAATGTACAGTCGGTTCGGTCAGAGAAATTCGAAGGAGCTTCCCTCAAACAATAAAGCGTTGATCTATCAATGCCTGTTCCACTTCAGAAAGACAATGGAGCAGTGTGCACTTAGTGATACCGTCTAGTGGAATTATCGGTTGAATGCATGACATACATAGGCAGTAAGATGGTCTTTAGATTTCAGCTAGCAGCATTTCACAGCACTGTTTCTCTGTTTGTGTACCGACATGCTAACATATGCACGTCAATGGGCGATTTCTAGGATCTCGGCTGTGTTCACTGTGTCCTACCATAATCGACAACTAGCGACTCCGACATACAGCATGTGTAGCTGTTTGTACACATACACACACACACACATCTAAGTTGCTGGTTATTGTACTCAAAAAGCCTACTTTGTTTCACAGTAGCGCATCGGAATAGAAAGAGGTTAGACGGTCTTCACTGTATACACATCAAACCGTATGACAGAGGATACCAACATCTTTATTGGTTACTGTACCACATTCTAAACACTATCCCCCTCAAAGTAACCCCCTCTACTGAGAGCAAACCGTTCTCAACGGTGCTTCCACTTATTCGAAAGCTTCATGGGACGCACTTTCAGGGATGGCGGGCAAGTCATTTGTCGCATTGTCCTGAATCTCCTCTAAGATTGAGAAACGACGTCCTTTACGCGTAGTCATAAGTTTGGAAAACAGGAAAGTCTGCTGGGGCTAGGTCAGGAGAATATGGTGTTCCCCTAGATGTGTGAGCCGGCGCACTGTCAGAATGCCATATACAATTCTGCTTTTCCCCATTTCAAACCTTTTCCTGCCCACAGTAGCCATCAAATGTGCTAGAGTTCCCTGGTAGACTTTCTTGGTTGCCATTTGGCCACGTGATACAAATTCCTGATGGAGTATGTGGTTGCAGTCAAGAGACACAACCAACATCATTTTGGTTTCGCACCGACTCGTGCGTACTTTTTGGACGATGAGACTGCACCTTCGTTTCAATAGCATAGTAATGAATCCACGTCTTATCGTTCGCTATTGTGTTCTGTGGCAGTGTCAAGCATTTCCTGGTTGATTTGAACATCGTCCAGTCAACATGAATTTTGCACTAACACGACGCATTTCAAGTTGGTCACAAAAAAATTGGCAGATTGATCCCACGCTGACATCCAGTTTGTCAGCAACTTCACAAACAAATAAATGATGATTTCCACGGATCAGGGTACGGACTCTCGGCACGGTCATCGTTTGCTAATATGGAAGGTCGACCGAGCTTGGGATATTCACCGACCGGGGTTCACAACACTTAAACTAGTTATAGTATTGTGTGCGACTCATACAAGCTAAGCAACTATGTCTCCGTAAAAATGTTTCCCAGTTTGTACATAGGTCGTTCTTTAAAGTTTTTCATTATTGTTTTGTTACGTGCAATTTCTCACTTCAATGGCTATGAGTCGCCAACTAACGATCAGAGCGAAACGCGGTAAAGGATAGTCTGTTGTTTAAACATGCCTCTATGTGCGACCAGCAGCCGCAGCGCCCTACCTCTAGCGATTGGTACGCTATTTCAAAAATTCGCTTTCTTTTTGAACATAGATAGCTAGGAGCCCTTCCTTACAGCCAAATAAGACGCGTGTTGCAATCTCAATTCTGTTCTGCCAACAGTAAGGCAAATTCTTGAGTATTGCGCGGCACACCTGTAGAACCTTACCTCAGCGTTCGCATCTTGTCTGACTATATCGGTATGCATAGAGCGAAACTCCCTCGCCAACCCAGACCGGAGAGTGACTCTGTAGCATGTCAATCAGCCGTCCTGTCATGCGAGTAAATAGTGAGCTGAGAGATGTGCAATAATTCATAGAGCAGCACAGAGTAAAGAAAAAAAATGTACTCACCATATCTGTTCCGAGATCAATGCACAAGATGGTTATCGTGCCAAGCGGTAGGGGTACATCGGCCAGAATGTATACCAGGAATGGCGTAATCTCAGGAATGTTGGAGGTGAGTGTGTAGGCGATTGATTTCTTCAAATTGTCGAAAATAATTCGTCCTTCTTCCACACCAGTGACGATGGATGCGAAATTGTCATCCAACAATATCATATCTGCTGCTTGTTTGCTGACATCGCTACCCGAAATTCCCATAGCAACACCTGTTAGGAAATATATGAGACAGAGCCGAAGGACGCATAAGGTACCCACAACCACAAAGAGGAAAAAAGAAGCGTCGACAACGAGGCATTCTCATTCTAGACAAGGGGAAACGGATTCATCAAGTGGGTCCAGATAGTTTTACTGGAGCTATGTTGACAAGTGCCGGGGTTCTAAGCGGGGTGTTTGGAAAGCAATTTGTTGATGGACAGGCAAACTCAACGATAAAGGTGAACTTAAAAACATGTGACACAGCATGTCAAAGTTTGATACTTGGCAACTCAAAGTCAAATGATATATCGCTTAAGTAATTGTGAAAACATGCAGAACTACATAGTAAACTACTGAAAACAGAAGATGAAGTGGTCGGTTAGGAATCGAAAACGTGATCAACTCTAATGATGTACAGACAATCTACGACGGCCAGAGTGACGAAACGGGGCTTGCTGCTGGCAGAATGCACCTAGGTGATTGCCACTTGGGGTGGGGCAGGAAAAATCCGCATTTCACATTGCACCAACGGCACATCGAAGCAGCTCGCCCCTGTATACCAAAGTCTGTCACCGCACCTAAATTGTTTCGATACAATCCGTTTTCAGCGGGCCTGCAACCCCCATTCGCGCTACTTGCGCCCTGTTTAGTAAATTGGGTTTTGTTATCTTTCCTTGCATCAGTCGTATTGTTTTCTTTGTTTAATTATCTGCATCGCTTTCGCGCGGGTGGTAAAATGGTTCAAAGGTTTGGCGTGTAATCCACAAATCGCCGGCCCGAGCCCCCGTAGGCCTAGTGACTTCACAGCAATCCAGCCACCGTGCAGTTTATGGTGGCCGCGTGGAAGCGACGCGTCAATATAAACTCCCGGTATGCAACTGATAAGTGCATCTACAAGTGTTGCTCAAATTATTCATGCACATTTTGATCATTCTCAATGGATTTTTATCCAGGAAGAATACAAGTGAGCCACTCTAATATAAACAACTGGTCAATCAGACTTGGTACCTGAGATATGCTCGGACAGTCATGTGTAATAACGAATATCATGACAAGCAGTGTCTACGGAACCGCAGGGGATAGTGTTGAAAATATCTGGTGGCAGCCATTACACGCCCCGGATCAACACGCCCACCATTCCAATGTGCCTACCTTAAAAAATAAAACGATGACGACAGCGGAGAGCAGTGCAGATGCGGTCCTAATGCTAGAATGGCTGAAGTTTACTTCAAATTGCAATGAAAGGCCCTAGCACCAACAGTACGCCGGCACAACGCACCGACGCTTCGCTGCCAAGTGATAATCAAAAGTCGCGCGCGGCTGGGCATTCCGCAAGGTCGCCCGCACTTCGCAGACTTGAACTGATGACTTCTGGACTGCAAGGCAAACGCATAATGCTTCCGGCCACTGGCCAGCTCGTGGAGCTCAGAGGCCTAGTGATTAAGCAGTAAGCCGTCAACTCCTACGTGACGGGTTTCATACCCAGGTAAGGTTATCTTCAGGTAAGGAGGAAGCCAACCTCGGAGTGCACCGTTGACGGAGAGAGACACCTAATGTGTCAGCGGTATGCCATAACGGCGCTTCGCTGCCGCGCGATCAGCAACAGTCGCGCACGGGATGAGTACACCGCGAGGACGCCCAGCCCTACGCGGATTCGAACCGGCCAGACGTGCAGACCACTCGGCAACCGGCCAGGAGAGAAACCTAAGGTCAATCTAATTCGGTAAATTTGGTTTATTTCTCTCATAACAAAGTTAGCACCATTATCGCTTTCATTTGCAGGCAATGCAATGCCAAACTGGTATTTCGTATAAAAGAACACACTGTTTCCAATCCAAATTACCGTGGAACATTACGGTTAGCGAACTTGGATGAAATACAGGATGGTAATTAACCAATGCATATAGAATGAAAATAATCGATTTATAATGTAAAAAACGTATGCCAGCAGTTGTTTGAAAACAGAGTCAGATGGTCGCCTACTTAGGGCCACCGTTGTTTAAGCAGCTATAGAAACATTCTGTATTAATCAGCAATTACTTTTTTGTCTTCTTCCATTTTGTGCACCGCAAGATATGTAAGGTTGGCTCATATGGAACGAAAAATAACTTGGCTGCTTTGTAGCAATACCGGTGTGTTAACAGTGATTGGTTGGCTAGCAGAATTGCATATTTCCTATCTGTGTCACTCGATGGCGCTGTTCCCGGAACTCAGAGGCTTGGTGTTCAAACAGTCAGGTACCAACCACTGAGTGGAAGATTGTTCAGATTGGTTCTAACTGTTCATGGGGTGTAGCGATTGATGTTGCGACAATAAGTATGCCGAAAGTCATTAAAAGTATCCACTAAACTATTGTCCCTTACTTTGTCACCATTCTTCGTGCGTTGGATAAAATTGGGCTTTTTGTGCCTACGGTGTACTCGCAGATACGAAATTTCGCCCGTGCCACAAATCCACAGGTGTTCAGTCGTTGGAAGATGACTGCACCTAGTGTTATCGAGGAACGTACATAACATGCCAATTTAGGTGGTTCTCGAGAGGCATACAAACGTGAACTAACCGATGTCAGCTTGTTTCAACGCCGGACTGTCGTTTACACCGTCTCCAGTCACAGCGACAATTGCACCTTGACGCTGACACCCCTCGACAATGATAAGTTTCTGCTGAGGGCTGGTACGGGCGAAGACGATCTCTGAGTGATTAGTGAGAATCTCATCGATTTGAGCCGGCGTCATATCACGTAAATCCGATCCGTGGATAACACACGCGTTTGCATCCCTTGGGTTCACCTGGCGAACTGGGATTCCACGTTCCGCAGCGATATCATCCACTGTCTTGTTGCCTTCGGAAATAATTCCCACACCTTTGGCAATCGCTTTGGCAGTGATTGGGTGATCTCCGGTCACCATAATGACCTTAATGCCAGCGGATCTACATTTGGCGACGGCGTCCGGCACAGCAGCACGAGGCGGGTCAATCATTGACATAAGCCCCACAAATCTCATATTTGAGGTGGGGAAATTGGGGCTTTCCGTGTCAAATGTGAAACCCCTAAGAACATGGGAAAATATCAAAAACACGTTACCCTCTCAAATGCCAGGATAAAAGTTACCGAAATAAGAAACGATGGTTAAAAGGGAACAAAAAGATACGCAGACGTAATAGTAACAGAGAAGCTGTCACACCAAAGGCCCGGGGTGGTGTACCGTAACTCAACTCCCTACGCCGACCTGGGCAACCGGGTACCATTGTGACCCCCTGCAAAGACCATGGAGCTCGATGTGTTGTGTTCGGTTTTTATGTTGCGATAACCTATTGTTTTCCATAAATATATATATATATATACCAATTAGGTCGGAATGTTTCTGTTCTGCTTGTTGAAGGAGTGCGGCCCGGCTCCGTTGATGAAACATGGCTCACATCCACACGCCTCGCGGATTTATTCCTTCGGGTTTACACCGGACATGGGGTATGTGGGTGGAACTGTGGGTGGTGTAGCACAAGCCACTTATGTATATATATATATATATATATATATATATATATATATATATACATATATGAACGCCTGCATGTTGCAAGACTATAAAATCATCGCATAAGGCATGGGTGAAGTGCATTCAAGGGCTGCGTGGCTTGTAAGTAGCCGCTTCCAAATGTGCCTGCGTGTAGTTTTGTGACGCAATACCCACAAATGACCCATGTGTGGCTTGTGCCGCACCACACACAGGTTTATCCAGTCGAGCCCTACGCATATATATATATATATATATATATATATATACATACATATATGAACGCCTGCATGTTGCAAGACTATAAAATCATCGCATAAGGCATGGGTGAAGTGCATTCAAGGGCTGCGTGGCTTGTAAGTAGCCGCTTCCAAATGTGCCTGCGTGTAGTTTTGTGACGCAATACCCACAAATGACCCATGTGTGGCTTGTGCCGCACCACACACAGGTTTATCCAGTCGAGCCCTACGCAGTGTAAATGCAAAGGAATGAAACGTGGTGGCATCACGACGTCTTCGCAGTCGGACCACACACAGTGTCCATGGCCAAATGAACCTTCGCCACAGTGGCGCGCGGTCATGCTTGTCCAAGAGAAGACGTGTGCTTGCACCTTGGCGTTTGAGCGAGGCTGAAAAGCGGATCATAAGCTATCGTTAACACAAAATGATCACACGTGGACGAGACAAAGAGGGATGAATCAGAACTGGTTAAACTTAGAGGGAACTAAGCATGGCTTTGGCAAGAATAACGGTGAAGCAGATTAGCTGGAACAGTCGTGAGCGTACATGTGCGCTGGCCAAAGAGACAAAGGAGAGCTAACGTGGCCAAGTATGACTCGAGGTGGACAACGTATATGAAGCAAAAGTCGATCAGAGCGAACAAAACGTAGTTACAAATGAACACGAGCAGATCGCCGAAGACGCAAAAGTAATCAATGTGAAAACGTTGCCACAAAATAGCGCCCCTCCAATTATGTGTGTATATGCCTTGTAAATAAAGGATTTTAATCGTTGCCCAGACTTGTTTTGATTCCTGGAAGCTAATAGGACAGGACGCACATGCGTTTTGTGTCCGACCCATGAAAGATCGGTTACAAATAGTTATTCACGTGAAAAGGCAGTTGAGAAGCATCTATACTGAATACACACGAGACCGTGGATGAGGCTTGGCTCATTTCGTGCAGCGTAGTACTGACACAAAGAAAGCAAATCCGCTGTCCGAATCAAGTTATAAATAAATAAATAGTTTTATTCTTGATGCAACGAAACATACTAGTACAGGCATGATCAAGTGGCTGTCAGAGCCACGGAAACACAATAAGGGCATGTGCACCAAACGACAGAGGTAAGTGCTGGCAAAATACATGGCTCGAAAATGTCATATAGGAAAGTTGCAACGATGATGAGCATGTTCACTGGAGTCAGATAGAAATGTGGCGTGGAAGCACGGTAAAATCTATAAGTGTTTCCGTTAAGGAAATACTGGGTAGGGGTTTCGAATAGTTCCGGAGATTGGCATTCCTTTCTCCGTGAACGCAGGAATCCGATAAAATGTTTAATAAAAACCGTTTTGTTCATATGGCACTATGCTCACGAAGTTCGGATATTGAGATCATTACCAGTGGTGGTGAGTCACATACGCCATGACGCAGTGTTTTTACACACATTTGTGGCTTTTCACAGGGAGAATGTTTGCCAGGCGAAAACCCACCCCGTCCTGGAACACTGCCGTCGACCACAATTTAAACAGCAATCAGCCACTGGCAACGCTACTTAAAGACCGCTTTTCGCACGGCTATGCGCAGTCATGGTGCACCTGATTTACCGTTGGCAGAGCGAAGAGCTTAATCTGGATTCATCAATAACGGTTGGAACTGGCGGTACTGGACGAAGAGAGGGCTATGAAGAGTGGGATGTAGGGTTGCGAAGGTGAACAGGAGTCTCAAAGTAACGAAGGTGGGATAGTCCATATGCGGTACCACTGACTGAACAGATAACCCACGGGCCGGGTGGGTGTCGCAGGCAGGTTCAAGAGGAATAACCATCGCAGGTAAGTAGAACGCTTGCAGTAAGATAAAGCTTTTTGAGATTTTTCAAAAGTAAAAAGGATTTGAATCCAATTGTTCAAGCTGGTAGAAAATACCGATCAAGAAGTTAGCTATGGCCCCCGGAATACACGTATGGCCGAAAGCAATAGTACAGACCACAAAAGATATGGAACGCTTCAGAATTTCGCGTGTTACCCTTGCGCAAGGGCCATGCTAATCTTCTCTGTATCGTTCTAATTTTAGTATGTGTACCGCAGAAGCGAGTACAGTGTTACCAGACGAGTGGACACCGGGTCGAGATCCGTCCCGGGGTTGCAGTCAGACCTGTCATCAAGTGGGAGAAAATACACGCGAGATCATTCTAGTATGGACACGTACGAGCGGCCAGACGAGAGCTGTGCCATATCATCCTCCGCAACGACATAATTATGACGATGGTCTATCGTTGCGCTTCCAATAAACATTGCAGAATTGCTCATCCGATGCAGAACGCTAAATGTAAGCAAAGTTCTTCGGAGATGATAGCCGGGGGCTGAGAACTACATCAACTATCAACGTGCCATTGTCACGCTACAATGATGAGTCAGACAGCCTTCGATAAAAGCAAAGAAGTAAGTGTCAACGAAATGTTGTTGGGGATGACAAAAAGCATTTGGGACGGTGGTGACACACTTTGTTACACATAATAGGTTAAAATGTGAAACAAAATTATATCCAGAAGACCGGTTCATAATAAATTTCGGAGGCCGCATCATAAGGAACTTTTCACTGGGTGATGGTGAGTATTCTATTAGCGACGAGTGTGCATCATGTCTCGTGGAGCATAGAGATAAAAGAAAAAGGCTGAGTGCACCACACCAGGGATGAAGAAGAGCATCAAAAAACGCGATCTGTTTAAACAGTCGGTTTTACTTCAGAACAGGATTATCTGAGTTCCAAAGTAGTTGGCATGAATGTGAGGACCTACTGCACGGCACTCGCCAAAACCAATCCCACTTGTCCAATTACACGCGCAATCTAAAAGATCGTGAGGACCTTTATGTATTTCTGTACATTCCTTAGTCTTCAATTCGGTTGGAGCGTTGCAGAACCCTTGAACACTTTCTGGACAACTCAGAAGAAGGAAACCGGGCCTCGCACAACCAGAGAAAAACTATCGGCATTATTTTCTTGTGCATCATTTCCTTGTGTACGAAGCCACCCGACCAAACCGGCGTTTCGCTTAGCAAGTTGCAATGCCGGCGGATACCAGATGTCTATGCAGCTGCCTGGTAGGCAAACAGTGAAAAATGATTCGAATTCGGCAGAAAACTTAGTGAAGCGACTGACGACACACCACCAAACACCAAAGGGTAAATTTCATGCAGTGCTCCCATTAGAGGTAAGCAAAAATGAGAGGCATCAGCGGTACGCAGATACGCAGTACCAACGCTCTGCTGCCGCGCAACCACCACCAGTCGCACGAAGACTAAGGACAATGTGAGGATCGCTGGATCCCTGCGCAGGCTCGAACCCGCGCTGTCAGATTACAAGACAGACTTGTGATTCTTAAGGCTATACAGCAGTTAGAAGCAGTGTTGGTGGGGCACTGGTGACCAGCAAACGAGCACTCGCTTAGTGTCTTAAACGAGCCTTGGTCATATATCTGAATAATACAGTAACACTGATCGTGCCGCCAAAGTGCAAAGCGCGGTGTTCAGCTGGCGAGCAAGAAGATATCTCAACACCCAACCCGAAATACAAATACCTAGACTTTTTGCACTCTCATCTAGGCAAATAAGCAAAAAGCCGGCCGTCTGTGTATATGAGTAGGATGTGGAACAATCATTGAGGCTTATCGATCCACTACGATGATAGCCAGAGAAGACGTAAACGTTTAGATGAGTAAACCGGTCATCTAAAATCGTAGTAGAATGCATATTAGCATCGAGGAAATTTAGGAAAATTGGCTATTTCTATTGCACCGCTGATGCAGCAACTGGGAAAGGAGAGCACCTATGGAGTGCAACGTCGCTGCATCATTACTGGTCGACTCTAAGGGCGTTCTGATTGGTCTGTCAAAATACTAGACACAAACGTATTTTCATCATGAAAAAATGTGGATTACCACATAGTTTCCCTTAAGTTCGCCAACGTAAGATTTTGTGCAAAATCTGGACAAGGTCTAATACGTGTGCTACAGGATGGCAGACGTGTGGCCCATTACTGAGGTGCACAAGGCACACCCGAAGGGCGCGGCGCCATCTGCACCAGCCCAATCAACATCACCATAATCATCAATGCACGTTTAGTTGTGGATGAGAAACATAAACCAGCTAATGTGTTGCAATACAAACAAGAGGATATTGGATTTTACAAACTACAAAAAGTCAAAAAGCAGGTACATATAATAATAAATGTCAGATCATACATTGGGTGT